TCCGCTCCCCTGAAATAACAATTGATTTTTCATTATAACGGCAAAAAGCATTGGACAACCAACATGAAATACCAAACATTTGTCAAGTGTTCTTTGCATAGGAGTATGTATTACTCGTATATAGTTTTTTTTATAGGAAAATCAGCTTATATTAAAATACCAGCAAAATCACCAATATCATCCAGCTCGGAGAAAACACACAAGCTACACAGACCAGAAACCATAGCTCGATCATACACCCTTGGACCAGACTTAGAATCAGTCACCTCAAAAGAAGCCACCCGATTCGCTAATCCCCACTTGGGCAATTGTAAGCCAATAATTATGATCGATCTAGATTCTCTAGCACTTATCCTCTCCTGACTCTGACTCAAAACAACAACTAAAACGAAAAATAAGTCACCATGGGCAAAACATACCCACAAAAAAAACCACCTACTGTCTTTACCAAAATAGTAAACTAAAATAACAACAAAAAAGTTATAAAAAGAGCAGATGCTAGGCGAGTCTAGAAACCTAGACCCACCTCCTCCATGTTTTTTGCTCCATCAATCACCATTGCATCGGCTTCCTGCTCGTTCTGCTCATGGAACTTCAGCAATACTCTTCTCCTCTTAGGCTCCCAGCTTGATTATCAGCTATAACCGCCTCTGAGTTCTTACTAGCTTCTCCTTGCACCAGGACCATTGATAAACTTTCTTCGTGAGAACTCCCCATCAAATCTTCCACAGCCCTCTCACCTCTACATGATCCCTTCCCACCTTGTGTACCTGGATGAACCAATCATTTATTTCCTCCTGTTCCCATACCTCGGACACCCGCAGCTCGCAGCCATGGACCGTAAGGTTTTATCAAGTCCTCGGCTCCCTTATTGTACTCCAATGGACAAAAACGGTCTGCATGCCCAATAAGACCACACACAAAGCAAAAACTTGGGAGTTTCTCATATCTCAGATCTACCCAAAAACAACTCCCCTCACTTTACCAAGTTTTATTTTTCTGCGCAGAGGCTTATTTATATCCAAACAAACTTTCAACCGCATATAAGGCCTCCAGATTTCATCAAACTGTTTTTCCTCAGCATCTATTAATTTACCTGTTGCGTTCCCAATTATTTTTGCAATTTTCAGAGTAAAGGACCCCGTAGGTAAATTAAACACTTGAGTCCAGAAATTAGCCCTATTAAGTGGGACTGACAAAGGCAATTCACCATCCTGTAAAGCATGCATGATTAACAAATTCTGCTCAAAAAGCCACGGGCCATTCTCAAGAACACGTTTCCTATCAACCTCATGAAAAAAAGTAAAAAGATACCTTTTATCCCGAATCTCTTTAATCGCAACTCCCGTAGCTGGCCTCCATATTGATGCCATCAAGCCTCTGAAATAAGGAAATTTGATTGATTTGTCGGTAACCAATCGGCTGACTACTGCAAACCTAGCCCTTGTTTATCTGCTTCACTCGAATCCTCTTCAAAATCGATAGCAATCCCCTCCTTTTCCTATTCCAGGACCAACCCTTGCCATGTTAGCATAAAGTCTGACATGGCCATCGTCTTCTCGCTAGCCTCACCCACCGACTGCATCTTTTGCACTGTTCACGAAGCAAAAAAACGTCTCCAAACGTGCCGCGCACACAGCAGTAAAGCTTCTCTTCGACAAACTTGTAGCTTAAGAAAGAAACACGAATAGAAAAACAAAACCAAGGAAAAAGCAACGATTAAAGAATTCTAATTAGTAGAAAACCCAAAGTCAATGAATTACTTTGCTGACCACAAATGGTATACACATCAAGCTTCAAAAAGATCCCAGCGCACCGCACGCATGAACACGGCGGAAAAACCTAACCCTGCATTCCGTAGGGAACCGGCGACAAAGTCTTCGCAACCTTCTTTAGTTTACTCGTATATAGTTTTTTGCAATTAAAATACCAGCTTTTATTAATGAATTAAGGTATCATTCGCTACATGGCTGCAGATACAATTCAGAATAGAACTAAATAATAATTTACCACCCGCATTGGAAACGGTTGCCCTTGCAAGTACATGGGCTGCTCGGTTCACGGATCGTCTGCAAAACCTGACTGAAAAACTAGCTTCAGATTGAAGTATGTGTCTAATGTCATCAATAATACGATCAAAATAAGAATCCCCTTTATCTTCTGACAGTCGTGAGCACACTTGTAAAGCGTCTGTCTCGACTTCTACTTTAGACCATCCTTGTTCTTTAGCCCAACTGCATGCCTCTCTTACTCCAACGGCTTCTGTAGCAACTGCAGACCAATCTGCCCGACAAGCCTCCCAACCTCCTCGAATGAATCTGCCTTCCTCATCACGCGCTAACCAGCCCCAAGCTCTCATTCCCCTATTAGCATCCACCCCCCATCCACGTTTATTTTTATCACCCCTTTAGTTGGCCGTTCCCATCTTTCATCCTCTTTTTGCCTTATTGAATCCTGTGTAGCACATTGTTGTGCCGCTCTCCATCAATTTAGCACTGCTGCACCTGCGTTAATGATTTGTTCAACATTGGCCTGCTTTTCCTTCCAAACCACTTCATTACATGATTTCCAAATGCACCACATCAGTGTGATTAGCAAGCAAAGCTTCTCCTCATTTTTACTTTCAAAAGCTGCTTGCATCCACTCCAGTAGGTTCTCAGCTTGCCCATGCACTATTAATTTCATTTTCCTCCATACAGTTGCTGCCAGAGGACAATCCCTAAACAAATGCAGGGAAGTTTCTGCCTCAACATTGCATAACCTGCAATTGGCTTGAATATTTACTTTTCTCCTTCGTAAATTCACAGTTGTGGGTAACACCTCATTCATAAGTTGCCAAAAAATGTTTTATTTTAGGTGGTATATGAAAACTCCACATACTAGTCCACCCAACCAGTTATTTACCGAGATTTCCCCGGTCAATTTTCTTTAACCACTCTTTACAGTACATTTCCCCCGAGTATCGCCGATCCACCAATACTCATCCCTTACCTTCCTACGACTAAGGGGAATAGTTAAAATGGCAGTTCTCTCAGCCGCTGAAAAAAGAGTTTGCAGACGCTCTATATTCCAGCCCGATCTATCCTCCTTAATAAGACATGCTACGTTCATATTAAATACACCTGTCGGTTTCAGAGATGAAATCATACCTCCCTCCTTAACTGGGAGCCAACTATCGTGCCAAACAGAAATATCTCTCCCACTTCCGACCCTTCGTCGAGTTCCTTCTCTTATAACTCCCTGTGCCTCCAAGACACTACGCCAAATATAGGAAGGATTACTCCCTCATTTTGCACAAAGAAAAGAAGTTTTTGGATAATACATTGCCTTGTATATTCTGCTCACTAATGAATTTGGGTCGGTCGTTAAACGGCATGCTTGTTTTCCTAGCATTGCAATATTAAATTCCTTAAGAGATCGGTAATCCAGACCACCTTTATATTTAGGCACACATAAAGCTTTCCAAGCCTTCCATCTAATTCCACGCCCTGCCATATCTCTCCCTCTCCACCAATATCCATTCATTATTTTCTCAATTTCTGAACATAAATCTTGAGGTAATAGAAAAACATTCATAGCGTATGATGGCATTGCTTGGATTACCATTTTTAATAGAACCTCTCTTCCTGCCTTGGAGAGGAACCTATTATTCCACCCCTGGATTCTTTTCAGTATTCTCTCTCGTAAGTAGCCAAGAATTTCTGTTTTTCTCCTCCCGACCAACGCTGGAAGCCCAAGATACTGAGAATTAGCATCATTCACCGATACCCCCAATAGTCAATGATGTCCACTCGATTTGCTTCGCTAACATTCGGGCTGAACGAGAGGACAGATTTGGTAAAATTAATTTGCTGCCCTGAACTGGATTCATAGACCTGTAGAATTCTTTTAAAGGCATCACACTCCTCCTTCTGAGCCCTAAAAAAAGGAAACTATCGTCACCAAAAAACAAGTGGGACACTTTCGGTGCCCCTCTTGCTATAGATATTCCATGGATCTTGCCCTCACTTTCCTGCTGCTTAATCAACAAACCGAGTCCTTCCGCAACTAGGATGAATAGATAAGGAGAAAAGGGATCTCCCTGACGTAATCCACGTTGTGGAACTATAGGTCCCAAAGTTTCATCATCAAATGGTATCAAGTATTCAACAGATTCCACACACTCTCTAATCAGCTGTATCCATTTAGGAGCAAACTTCATCAATTCCATAATGGTGACTAAAAACTTCCACTCAATCCTGTCACAGGCTTTGCTCATATCAAGTTTAAGGGCTACAAATCCCTCTTTACCTCGAGACTTACGCTTCAAATAGTGATGTGTTTCGAAGGCTATCATAATATTATCAATTATGGATCGCCCCGGGATAAAAGCACTTTGATTACAAGACACCAAAGTATTTAAACACCCTTTTAAGCGATTAGCCAAAATTTTTGAAAAGATTTTGTATATAACGGTGCATAAAGCTATAGGACGCCAATCACCAAGATTCTCAGGTTTATCTTTTTTGGTATAAGAACAAGATTTGTAATGTTTACCTCCCTAGGTAACTGCCTCTCCCTGAATATTGTTTGACAATATTTAACAACATCGCTCCCTACGATCTCCCAGTAATGTTGGAAAAAGTCCGGATTTAATCCATCAGGGCCCGACGCTTTATTCGGGTGCATGTCAAACACTGCCTTTTTAACCTCCCTCTCCGTAATTGGACGTAACAAACTAACATTCCCCGATTCGGTCATCGTTGCCACACCCCTTCGCTTGCCTTTCAACTCTTGAGGATTCAAACTAGCATTAGCATATTGAAATAGAGCTTGAAAATAATTTTCTACCATGCCGCCTACTTGCCTCCTCTCTGTTACCCAAACTCCATCCTCAGATTTTAGACCATTCATTTTGTTCCTGCGACGTCTCTATTTCACGGAATTATGGAAAATTTTTGTGTTGACATCCCCGTCCTTCAACCAAAATTCTTTTGAACACTAAATTTACTACTCGTATTATATAATCATAAATCATTAATGAAGTATAAAAAGTTTGGATTCATCTTAATCATATATTCATCGTAATTTCTTACATTTTTCATAATATTCTTTTAATATTTAAAAAAAAGTAAATTCAAAATAGAATACGAAAACAATCTAAAAACAAAACTAAGATGAAGACACTTTGCAAGTAACATAGATGACATCTCTTTGGCGTTCTACTTCTACCCCTTAGCGGCATCATTCTTTGGGACTACACGGCCGTTTCCGGTGGTAACCGGCAACTCTGTCTCTCCGGCGACCATGGCTTCCTCGCGAAACTTCTTATAAATATCACCCGTGTAGAACTTTCTAGTCCTAACCGCCAAGACGGCGGACACGGCGGCGCCAAAGATCGTGACGGCGGCGATGATAATGAAACCCAATTTAAAACACTCAACCCCCACACAATCCAATTCCACCCCTGCCTTCCTTTTCGTCCCAAAAGCTCTGTTTTGTCTCTCCGCCTCTTTGTCATACAGATGCCCCACCACCCTAACATTCAGCAAGTACGACCCGATCGGGCTCGCCACCGACCCGAAGTTGTACAGAGTGGAATAATACTTCAACCCGAAAAGCTCGGAGATTATGGCGAAAAGGAGCGGCCATTGAGCTCCGAAGCAGAATCCGATGATCACCGATGCGACGTAGAGACCACCTCGGACGTCGAAGGCGATCAGAACGTGGCCGGCACATGATATTACGAGGATGATCGTGAGCATCAGCGGTCTTGGGAATCTGTACTTGGTCAGAATATGCTCCGACACATAGCCGGAGAAAACCCTGCCGGCGTAGTTCCAGATGCTCACCAGAGAAACGAATGTGCTGATGCTCTTCTTCGGGTACCCGAGGGATGCCCCGATCTGTCCCAGGTTGTCGATCGCCGTCAACGTCCCTCCGACGCCGCATATAGTGGCCACCAGGATGATCAGCATGTCGATGCTGAAAAGGGCTTGGAGTATAGTGAAGTCTTCCCCTGTTTCCGGCGGCCGGAACGCCGTCCTCCAGCAAGACGCCTCCTTTTCTTCCGATACACTGACTACAGTCATGCCGCCGGGCGGTGGCGGTTGTGGGTGTTGACGCGGGGGCCATTGCGGGTGTGGGTCTTCCTCCGCCGCGACTGCCGCCACTTTCTTGGCCTTCCAAATTCCGATTTCCTCCTTGATGACAATTCCGAGGGGCAAAAAAAGCAAGATAACAACCGCGGTGGCACTAAGGCTATATTCAATTCTAGTGAAATCGAAATTCTTTTGGAGTATGATAATGATCATCAGAAATCCGGCTAATCCCAGAGATACGTAGAGAAATTTATAGAACACTTTGATCTCATGAGCGATCCTAATAACCTTCATAATTCGCACCGTCCGGAGGAAAAAGGCGGAAACCACCGCCGGAAGCCACCCGATCAACAAAAGCAGAGACTTGGAATCGTTACCGTAGATTGTGTGGTAGATTTGAGTAAAAATGGCGCCACTTAAGCCGACGAAGCCTTTCAGGAGCCCAAGAACGGCACCGCGGCTCTCCGGGAAGTTCTTGACACAAGTGACCAGAGCTCCGGTGTTGGCGAAGGACTGAGAATTTGCTCCCACGCAAATGTACAGACACATCTGCCATACTTTGGGTTTGGGGATTTTTTTCGTGACGGCCAGCCACATCATGAAGTAGCCGAAGAAGTTGAGGACGGCACCGATGAGGAGGACCACCCACGGCGGCATCACCTCGTTGATTAGGCCGGAGAGGATGCCGACGTTGGCGCCTAAGTCCTTGAAGAAGCTGAGTAAGTTGAGGGTGGTTTGGTCGTAGGCCAGGGCGGTTTTTATGTCGCCGGAGTAGAGGCCGAACATGTAGGTGGCGCCGGCGACGGACAGGATGAGAATGGAGGCGAAGAGCATGAACCACCGGCCCTTGAGGGTTTGCGTGGTTAGGCTGCCCATGTTTGAGCAGCTGCTTCCTCCGGCTGACTCCATTTTCTCCTAATTAGCAACAGAAAGAACAGAGATTTGATGAATGAATGCTGATAAGCTGCAGTAGAGTTGTTTGTGCTTGTAAGACAGTCTCACGAGTTCTTCATGCCCCTGTAAGGTCGCTTATACGGAGTATGATAAATAGACCAACACACGAATGCAAGGATTTGACTTCTCACAATATATCCCAAAGAAAAAAGGGTGTTTCTCTAATCCCCTAGTGTTTAATAACGCAATTTGGGATCATACATGTTCGAGTTTAAATAGAGAAAAAAGGACATCCCATTTTAAGGGTGACACGTGGGAAGAATGTAAATTGGACTTTATAAGTTGTAAGAAAGCGAATGGAGCTCTATTCTAGATATTTGCAGACATTCTATGCATTTTTACATAAGAATCTTTCATCGACGTTGTCGGGATTTAATCCGAGATTTACCTCTTATGACACCCCTATCTACGTGACTGATAGATTGTTTGAAACCTTGAAAGTTGAAAGAAGATGTTCTAGACTTGTAAACATCAAACGGCGACAAAATTAAACCTTGGACCTAATTAAATGAGTTCCAAAATACAAAAAAAGATTATTAAAAAAAAAGATTATTTACAAAAAAGAAGCTTACTCACACTATATATAAAGAAAAAATTTTGGGCCTATTTTTTTGCCATTTTTTCGGGCCTAGGGCGGTCGCCCATGTTGTCCCCCAGGACCGGCCCTGTATCTACCAGTTGAACTACGCCTACTGATAGTGGATTTAAACAGAGATGGTAATGAGCGTGTGGGGGGGGGGGGGGGGGGGGGGATATTATGTGCATATAATTGTACTCACTCTCTAACCGTCCCATTATTCAATGGATATTCTTTCCTGAACCATAAACGTCACGGATAACCGTTTCTTTTAAGGGGTCTTTATTACTTTAATACTAGTATAAAAATCAATATTTTTAAAAGATGGAGAACGGCATAGCCTAGACGTCTCTAAACGTGACGCGCCACATAAAAGTCATGTGCACTTACAAAGTGAGGAAGAGGGTGACCCAAATTAATTTAAACGTGAACAAATGTATATTGAAAAGGTTAAGTAAAATGTACTCCATATTTTAGCGAGCATGCACAAATCCGCAATGGCCTCATTACATATAAAATAGAACGGTTATTCCCCGCCCGGTTACCCAGTAAATGCAATTTTCCTCATTTTGACCGAAGCGATTCAGTGCGCGGATCCATCGGATTGATCATAATGTCATCACTAGTTTTAAAATATAGAAAAATGTCCTTATAGAATTATAATGGATGGTAATTCCCAAAATATGTCTAGACATTATTGTTTCCCAAAATATGACCAATATATCGAATGAAATAAGAATAAGAAATTGCCGGAGAATGTGCATACATGCCATGCGATCATATTAAATATGAAAAAAGATGTGAGTCATATTTTTAAAAACACATAATGTTTTAGTAATAGGTGAACTAATTCCAGTTAATTTTCTCTTTAAACTAGCTAATTTAGTGTGATTGAGATTAAGTTTCTAAAGTTTAATTACACTAGAGTCAATTTTTAAGGAGTAGTTACTAATGAGGACATTACTATAAATTAAGAAGATAATGGTCATACTTCAATTTAGAAAATATATTTTTACGCTCCCGTGTATATGTCATATTTTATCAGTGTCATTGACAATTCTTTTCATTTTAAGATGAATTGCTTGTGACACCGACAAAATTTTGAAACATGTTTTTTTGTTTGTGTGAATTGTGATAGGTAGTTCATCTTTAAAAATGATAAAAGTTATTTGTGACATAGACAATCTTAAATGTGCACACGTAACCGCTTTATTAGTGGGCACAACCTGTTTTCTAATATAGGAATCTTTTATCTTAAAACTTCACACGTTTACTGTAAAGTTTTGTATACACTCGTTTTTCTTGGTCCACACCTTAATTTTACCAATTGTTGGGATATAAGAGTCCGACCAAAATACTCGGCCCAGATACGCTTAAAGTCCAGAAGAGGTAATGGAGCCTAAAAAGTGCCAGACAAAAGGTATACTCTCGAACGGGTTCAGTAGTGGGCCTAGATATCCAGTTCGGGAACTCCCGAACGGGTTGAATCCCATACTTGGGCAGAAAGATATGTCATTCATAACTATGGATTGCCTCAATCGAGGAGGCTTGCAAGTGGCAAAGGTGCATTCAATGCTGGAGTATGGACAGTCAAGTGGCAAGAATGTGTGATCAAGTGGCAAGAGGATCCTCCACTTAAGGGTTGCTACGTCATCCATCTCATCTACCCACATCTAGTATAAATAGTAGCATTTAACTCATTGTTAAGGGTTAACATTTGTATACTCATTAGTCATATACTTCTCTCTAGCCTTCGTATTAGCAATTGGACCGTAACTCTCGTTCGGTCATTTCTCTGTAATCAGCACTTCTCTGCTAATACAATTGGACTATTGAATCATCTCTCATTTCTAAAGTTGTTTTCCATATTCAAAAAGTTGTGTTGGGCCTTTTAGATCCGGACATATTAACACCAACACCAATAAAGGAGGTATTTCAATCAATAGACTTTAGGTAAATTTTACCACTTTCAAAAGTAATTTGGGATGATATTACCACTATGATTTCTATATGTGAATTAATACTTCCAATCACACTTCTTTTTTGACATGATATATATATGTGTGTCAATTTTAATATTTTTTTTAAAGAAAGCACCAAACTATATTAATTTAATCAATAATTTGGAGTTACAATCTGTCAAAAACACAAAATCCGCTAACTATCTTCAAACAGACTTCACCAAGACTCAAGAAAAGCCCTACGATCAGACTTTGAGATGATCACCTCCAAAGTAGCAACACGAATCGCTGACCGCCAAAAGAACAACATAAAGTTCTTTCTGACCCTTGAGGTCATTGTATTCTTTACCACTTCAATAAATTCAAAATAGCCGAATAGGAATAGATCCCTCAGCCCTGATCAGACATAGAAAAACTCATCCAAAACAGAGAAATTTTTTTCGCTTAACATACGGGAAAATTGAGGCAAATAACGGCCACAAGCACCCCCAAAATATCTCTAACACAAACAAACCAAAAACACAGTAAAAAGTCTAAAAGGGCATACATAAAACTAGAAAGAAAAACAGAGCAATAAATCGCATGTGGCCAAATCCAAATTTGAAGCGTCATTTTCCAAACACTAACCACATGATCTCTCCATGGCAGCGTTTCTGAAGGGGGGCGGACTAGCACTACTACATCTTCTTCTTCTTCACCCTTCTCCTTGCGCATCACGTTCTCCTTGAATCTGCACATTTAGCCCCAAATTAGACTTGCACCAGGCAGAAGCTTCACACCATGAATCATAGGAGCACTTACAAGGATCTCGATGCTACTCCAAAATCTTGCCTAAACAACCTCCGAGCACTATCACATAGGGTAAGGATGTCAAAAAAACCCGGCCCGCAATGACCCGCCCTGGCCCGAGACATTTGGGGCGGGTCTGGCCCGCCCTGTCTTGCAAATGGGGCGGGTCCGGGTATTAGTATTGACCCGTGCTGCCCCGACCCGACCCGCTCAATATATAAGTATATACATACATTTTCTTAAATTATACTACAACTTAAATATACTTCAACATAATATGTGTGTATACCATAAATCATAAATTCTTTGATCTTGTAATATATATATATATATATATATATATATATATATATATATATATATATGTATATATATAAGATCATGTGAGAAGTGCCCCTTAAAATGAGAAGTGAGAAGTAATCTTAGTCCTTGGATTTGCATGTGATCTTGCAACACAGTAAACTTATAGACTGAATATAGGAACTTATGACCAATAAATAATAACTTATAAAGCTCTCCATCATAATTACGAAAAGGCCACCGCGTCCAAAATTTTTCAAGGTTTCGAGGCCTATTTTTTTGCGGTGGCATTTTTCGTAATTATTTTCGACGGGGTCTATAAGTTATGATTTATGGGTTAAAAGTTCGTATTTTTAGTTTATTAGTTAAACTTCGCAGTTCTCAGCCTAAGAGCACTTCTCACCTCATCCGCTCCCTATATATATAGGTTTTGGTTCAAATAAGAACATGATCTTATGAGAAAAATGAGAATGAATCTGGACCGTTAGATTTGCTTTATGTGAAATTCAATGTGCATTGGATGAATCTATAATGTGTATTAGGTGAAATTGAAATGTGCAGCACAAATGGTACAATGTAGTGACGTTATGTGAAGCTAAATTGTGCATTAGGTGAATTTGAAATGTGCACTAGATGAAACTAAAATGTGCAGAATAAAAGGTACGATGTGATGTTATTTTTTTACCTTTTATTCTCTGCACATTTCAGTTTCACCTATTGCACATGTGAGTTTAAATTTTAATTATGCACATTTCAATATCATTTAATGCACATTTCGGTTTCACCAAATGCACAATTCAGTTCCACATAATTCAATCCAACGGTCCAGATTCATTCTCATTTCTCTCTTAAGATCCGTTCTTACCGGAACCGCTCCCTATATATATATTAGATTGAGATGAACGACGGATTATCAATGTCTTCTTTATATATAGCATTTTAATACATATATATATTCAAGTATTAATATAATTAAATAGATTAACTATTCAAGTCTAAGTGATTTTTCCTTAACTTTTGAAATTTCTAGCGTATCATGAATTTGATTTAATATATTAATTTTTAATAATTATTTAAAGATAAACTTTATGTAGATTCAAGTGGTAATTAACAACTTCTCACAAATAAAAATATATACTAGCTAATTAGGTTACGGCGGGTCGGGTCATGGGTCAACAAGTTTGGACCCGTGCAGGTCACGGGGCGGGGCGGACCCGCCCCGTCAAGTCACTAGACGGGCTTGGGTCTTGCAGTACCCGCCCCGGCCGCCCCGACCCATTGCCATGCCTAACCTAGGGTAGACCAAAACTGCCGGATATAGTGAAAAGGCTCACTGCCGGAAAGAGAAACTCCAGAATGCTAGGGAAACAACCGCACTACACCGTTTTATTATTGAATTGTGTTTTCCATTTGTTGGAAAAATGTGTTAGAATAATTGCATTAAATGGTCATTTTGGGGCAATTATTTGAGTGTGGTCCACTTCCGATTTGGGTCGGGTCAAAGTGGTTTCGGATTATCCCTGTTAAGGGCTACAATTCGATATATGGTACGCT